TTTGAGGCGATGCAAACCACGAAATGCGTACAGCTGTATGGTTTTGATGGTATTAGAACTGAGGAAGAGCTGCTCGAGACGAGGCATACAAGCAAACTGGTCTCTGCCAACTTCTGAAATTGAGTTTCCGGTGATGTCCAGCAAGGTTAAGAACCAGATAGTCCCATTCACAGCAACACAGAATGGAGCATCTGTCAACTTCATAGGCCATTTGCAGTCCTTGAAAACCTGTGTTACCTGTCCAGAAACTAAAGTCCAGCTGGCCTACTTCTGATCTGCTGGTGAATAACTTTGTCAAAGTTGTCCCACACTCCTTTAGGTCCTCTGTAGTCTGTAAGTCTGTCTGTTGATGTAAAAATTAGGCTGAGGGCCTGAAGATTAAGGTTGGTGACGAGATGTCACAAATCTTTGAAGTTTGTTGAATATTTTCTTATTACAGTTCCTGTCAAACTCAACTCCTTGACTTTTCCAACCCCAGACTCCCAAATACTATCAAGTGACTCTCCTTTGAACTCCAAAGAAAGGCTGGAGAGGTTCTGAAACACAACTAGAGAGCTTGCTTGAATGATTTTGATACTGTTTCCTATTAGATAAAGGTTTTGAATCCCAGAGAGGACAGTCACAGGACAAGTCTTCGATCCCCCTGGACATCCTTTGGTCTCAATTGTTGAAATCCCACTGTCTATCACACTCAGGTTCTTCAGATGGGACATTGCATTGGGAAGATAACAGAAAATATCACTAAGGTCCTGTGCACAAGTTCTGGTAATCTCTAGTCTGATTACGCTAACCAACGGATCAAATATAGTGCTGGATACATTGACTAACTTCAGATCTCTCAGTGTCAACTCCTCCAAATTAGTCAAACCAGCAAATGCGAGACACTCCATGGTGACGGACCAACAAATTGCATCACTAAAAAGCACCGACAAATACTTCAGATTGGGGAGCCCTGAAAATACACCATATTGAACACTCTCCAGTCTTTCCCCATCTATTTGAAGGACCTCCAAAGAAGGTAAGTGTGAAAAGGCATCAGCAGGAATGCTTGAAATATCACCGAAGATACAAAGGGATCAAACTTAAAGGCCTACCACTGACAGATCAGTGCGCAGGGCTGTAATATTGCAGTCTGCGTATGGACCCCTTCCTGGATAATGGTAGCAGTGTGGAGTCTTGGGCATGTCTCTGAGGAGATGCTCCTCGATGGTTGTGCAGCGTTTACTTATATAAGTAAAAATGCCATTGCTGATACTTAAACCCAGTGCAAACCTCCACCAGAAGCACAAGCAATTGGGGTCATACAGACCCATTGTAGAGGTACTCTAGACAAATCTACTCCTATGCCTTCACTCTGCAAGTTTTTAATTCGCATTTAACCTCACACTGCACTTGTTCAGACTCTCACTTCCTGTTTAACTGTGAAACAGCACAGCACTATCTCAAGTCCTGCCTCTTTGCTGTGTGATTGTTTTCTCACTGAACCACCAGTTTGTCTTAATGATTCTTAAATAGGACATTTTTTACTGTTACATCAAACTGACTGAAGGAGAATAGGTAAAATGCTAGGGGTGTAAATCGGATGGTTCGTCACGATACGATACCAATTCTGATACCCAGCGATACGATATTTGCCGATACCTCAAAACATTCTACGATACGATTACGATTCGATTCAGGATATATCGATTGATATATCGATATTATATTATATATCTATTTTAAACAACCATCTACATTTTTATTAACTCGCAAATGCAACCAAAATATATAACATTAACATTTATCTGAAATGTTCACATCCTGTACCTCAGTTGGGACATTCACAACAAAAAATAGGCCTACACATTTTTTTTTTTTTAAATAATAAAGAAAACGAACAATTGGAAAAACAATTCTGGCTGCTAATATGGGCTCAGTGCTAAAAATCTTTTAGATAAACAAATTACAAGCAATAGCAGAAAATAAATACAGTACAACAAAGACACAAGTTCAATAAACGGTGCTTTTCAGGTTTTTCAGCTGAGTCTAAAATAAATGTTCAGGTACGCTACAGAAATGTAATAATCAAATGTAAAATAACTGCATATTCGTCACTATATACATTAAATATAGATTAATCATTTTTGATGTTACAAAGGTTATTTAGTCAGGAGCAGTGAGCACTTTTTTTCTTTGACAGCATTAGATTTATAATTAGTTTGCTTTCACTTTAAGAACCAAGCACGGATTCAATATAGGCTACTGCTATGCCTTTTATTTCTCAACGGTTTATGTTAAGACATATGCCAAACCAACTGTGTTTACTAGGATATTCGCACACAAAACTTCTCACACAGCGCTCGACTGTCCCGCAAACAATCCCGAGCGTCTTCTATGCTCACCTTGTGCCTTCCGGCAGTCCTTCAGAATTCGATATAACTTATATCGAGTCCTGATACTTGAGTTTGAACGAGAATGCACGCGTTGGCGGTAATGCATAGACGGACATTATGTGAAAATGTGGACAGTGCCAAAATAAGGGTGCCTATTTATACTACAGATATCGATATTTTACGTGTGGCATCGATGCATCGTATCGTCAGATATCGTATCGATGAATCGTTACACTACAGATGATAAATCTCACTCCATATATTCAATGAGAATATCTGGGACAGATTTCTGCATGAATTTCTTCAAAATTACTATTCATAAAATATGTACTATTAAAAACAAGGATAGCCTAATTTTTCTATGTGCTCTTTATGAGTTGCTTTATTACATTAAATGACTTTAATCCTGTTTAATAAAGGTCTGACATGTAAACTGCTGTATGAGCACAAAAAAGCAACAAGAAGAACAAACATTTCACAGTTCATTTGAGACATTCAGGCCAAGATCAAATATAGTGCAGAACAGGAGGAACCGAGAAAACTTTTTTTAATTTATTTGACCGTTTCTTTCAACTCAGGAACTACAAGTGATGTTTTGATGAAGAGATAAGGTAGTTTTACCAGCTGTGAACTGCATTGCAGTCACAGATTTCCTAAAAATGCACAAATCTTAGATTAAACAAGTAAAGCAACACATCATGCATAACCGTATGCATCCGTTTATTCTGTGGAAAGTTTCACAGCATGAATATTACCCACTACAACAACCATCTGAACGCCAGCGATTAACAATAATTAAAAAAAAACTTTATTACATTATCAGTGTTGCACTTTTTGTTACAATTTAGGGGTCTGTGAAAAACTTCTACATGCTGCGTTTAAGTGAAATATATAAGTGTACAATACTTGAGCTTTTGCATTTGACGGTTCAACCCTGCACAGAATCTGTGAAAGCTAGATTGTAAAGGTGCAAGCAGTTTTGCCTGACTGTGTATTATTTGACACAGTGCAAAAAACTGATTTCAGATAAAAATTAAATTAAATTACACACAAACCTTCACTCACCTTACCGCATTACACACAAATAAGATGGCCTGCACTTTTCTTTAAAGATTTGCTTATTTTTTGTTTGTCACTTATTTTTTTATGATTACAAGGGTCCGGTTACAATACAAGCATGTTATTTACTAATTATATCCTCCATAAAATGTTATAAATACAAGTGAAATTCTCAAACAAACCAAAAACATTGGGTCAGGATTCCTAACCTTAAAGACAAACAAAATAATTTAAATAATTTAAAAAAAGCAGAGCATAACAAAAATGATAAACATTAATGGCAACACTTTACAATAAGGTTCCATTAGTTAATGTATTAACTAACATGAACAAACAATGAACAATACATTTATTACAGTATTTATTAATCTTTGTTAATGTTAGTTAATGAAAATACAGTTGTTCATAGTTAGTTCATGTTAATTCACAGCGGATTAATTAATGTTAACAAGCACAACTTTTGATTTTAATAATGCAGTAGTAAATGTTGAAATTAACATTAACTAAGATTAATAAATGCTGTAGAAGTATTGTTCATGCTTAGTTCATGTTAACTAAAGTAGTTAACTAATGTTAACTAATGAACCTTATTGTAAAGTGTTACCACATTAATAAAACTCCCAACATTCTATTCAATATCTGTACAGTATATAAGCTAAGCATGATATTAAAATGCACATAGTTACATGACTACTTTAAAAGAAAGACAAAATAAGAATATCATTACAAATGACTGTAATAGTCTGTAACTCTCACACTCTACAATTAACTACATTCTTCTGATGAATATTCCCACACAAATATTCCATTTGTGCGAGATGTGCCAGGTCTTAAGCATAATCTGACGTGTGTCATAACAATAGATCAGCTTCTGTTCTGTCAGCATGTACCCCTGGAGCCAGATTCATGAATATCTTAAGAAAATAAAATTTAGAACTTTCTGAGGATAAATAAGAAGTTTAAGTTAAATTATTTAAAATAATAATAATAATAATAACGAAATATCTTAAGGACACATTTATTTCCTTTTTAGGAATAACATTTATAAACAAAATAATAATGACCAAATGATTTGACTTGCCGATTGTATTCTAACCTACTGAGGTTAAATTTGTCTTATATTACAACAATTCATTTAATACTTGGTAAATCTTAACAGTAAATGTATTCATCTATTAACTTTTTTTGTCTATTAGCAAAAAAGTGTCATCTCTAAGAGGGTTTTCTGTCCCTTTCTTCATTGATAACCCACGGCATTTCCATCTGGAAAAAACATCCAAGAAACCGACAAGTACGCTAGACTATAATAAGTAGTAAAATATAGTAGTACTAATATGCATTACGTTTAGCTAGTATTATAATGTTGTAACACTTATATTTTAATATCAAAACGGTCCAATTAATTTATTAATCATCTGTGTAGTCTAAGGTCTAGGAGGTCATTTAGAATAAAATGTAAATTCTTTGTCAGCTTTCTTAAAGAAAATTCTTAAGACAAAAAATAAATAAATAATAATAAAGATAATTTTAAAAAATTCTTGCCACAATATTCTTTACATTTCTTAGAAAAGAAAATAAGAAGAAAATAAAAGTTACGAATTTTATTCTTAAGAACATTTCATGAATCCAACCCCAGTTCTTTAAATGACTGAACAGGCGACTCTCAATGAGTTTTTATTTGATGGTGTATAACATTTTTAAATATGAATGAAAAATGAGCAAAAACAGCTATTATAAGGAAACCATCACTTAGCTTTTACAGTAATACTTTATCTATAAAAAGAAAAAGCAAAGCCATATTGTTCAAATTGAATAAGCTCTTTAAAAATGCAGACTGTTTCCAGATTTTGGAATCACCTCTAAATCACCATGAGGAACCTTCAACCTTTCACTCTTCCGCTGTCTTTTTTCTGCTCTCCCTTCCTCTCAACCTTCTTCATTTCTTCTGGAATTGCAAACTTCTCCATTGCCTCCCTTTCAAATTCTTCCATCTCATCGCCGTCGTCTTCCTCGTTCTCCTCTCCCTCGCTGTCGCTCTCTTCTCCTTCAGCCATGTCCTCCAAAATGTCTTCCACATCTTCCACGAACTCCCTGAACGGCATCTGATCATGAGCGAACACTCCATCCGTGAAGAACTCCTTCACCAGCTTACGGAGCTCTTCTTTGCTGGAGGTCTGGTCCTGATCCTGGAGCTTGTTCAGGTAGAACTGGAGAAGGGTCTCGAAGTCCCGCAGGCCGACGGGAGAGAGTCCCTCGCCTCGAGCGCAGTCTGCCACACCGCTGCATGTCTCCCGCTGCTCGTTATAGTGCTGAATGCGCTCTCTTTGTTTGGTCCAGTAGTTCTCATGGTCATAATGGTGATGGGAGGAGGTCTGGTCTGGTGGTCTGTGCCCATGTCTCCCCTTTTGTTGTTTCTCTTTTTCATTGGGACTATTTTTCCCCTCATTAATATGGTAGTACACCTTTTTTTTCTCCTCGTTTATTCCATCTCTTGTCCATTCTCTATCTTTTGACTCTCTTAGTTTCCCTCTCCAATGCTTTTCCTCCATTTCTTTTTCATCAAACTCTTTTGGAAATTCTTTGTCTCCTTTCCATTTTTTATCGTTGTGTTTTCCGTCCCTCTTTTCCTTTCTCCATTCCTTTTCACCTTTCCATTCATCCTTCCTTTTCTCTTTCCGTTCTTTATGGTCATTCCCACCACTTTGTTTATCACTTTTCCAGTCTTTGTTCTCTTTCCGCTCCCCTCTCTGCTTCCTTTCTTTTTCCTCTTTCACTTTCTTGTTCCCAGTATCCTTCCAGTCCTTTTTGTCTCCCCTCTTCTCATCCTGTCCTACATGTTTGTCTTTCTTCCGCTTTTTATCTTCCTTCAATTCTTTTTTTGCATCCCACTCATTAAAATCTTTCTTGACTTTACTTTCTTTCCCCATTTTACCATCATCTCGTTTTTTGTCCTTTTTCCACTCTTTTCTCTTTCCTGCTTTACCTGCCTCTTGGTGGCTTTTATCTTTTTTCCACTCTTTCGGTTCCTTAGTATGCTCTCCCTCAGTCACTCTCTCCCTCCTTTCCTTGTCATCTTCCTTTTTTTCACTTTTCTTTTTTTTCCATTCTTTGTCTCCCTTGCTTTGTTCCTTCTCCTCACTCTTTTTGCCCCGAGTCTTCCTGGGCTTCATGTCTTGTCTTTCATTCGGTGGTACATCACTTTTGTCTCCAGCAGAGGGCATCCGAGAGGTTGCATTTGGATGCAGAGATTCTGCTCTTCCTTAAAAAAATAAGATGCAATTTTTTTAAATACATTTTTTAATGCACAGGAAAAAAAGAAGGGAATTTTTTTTCTCCATTTCATGAGGTTTGTATTTTAAAACAAATCAGTTAAAGAGATACATATGCTACTGGACATTAATCTGTGAATTTTTTAGAATTTTTTATTTTTTTTAAAAATACATGCGTTTCAATGATGAATCATTGCTGTCAGTGTGTCTGTGCTCTGTGTGAGCTGTGAAACTTTAGCTTTCAGATGCTCCAGTTCTCTCTGTAGTAATGGCACGGCCTCCAGCTCTTTCTTTGCTCTCGCACTTTCTTCTTTCATTCTCTCATTCTCCTGCTCCAGCTCCTTCTGAAGAGCAGGTACTCTATCTAGTTCTCCTTTTATCCTCTTGTACTCCTTCTCCAGCTCTTCTCTCCTCACACGCTCTTTCTCTCCCTCCTCTGTCCGAAACTGTGCTTCTTTCAGTTCACCTTGATGTTGCTGAGTTTACAAACAGGGCAAAAAATTAACACTGAACTACAGCTAGCAGAACCAGCCTATTTACTTGTAATTTTGTTGCACTCTCTCTCTCTGACACTTCATTTGGACTTCATTTAACAAAGGTCTGCACATGTCTATACCTGAAGCTGTGCCTGTAGTACCAATATTTGCTGATCTTCCTTTGCCTGTTTGCTTAAAATGTCTGGAGGCTGAAGACCAACAGGCATGTCTTTGGAGACCTCAGGATTCAGCCACTCCTATCACACACAAATAATCAACAGATGATATAATATGAACTAAAATATAAAGTTTAGGTCTGTAAAGTCACACAAAAAAATTAAGAGCAAATGAACTGACCTGATTTGTTGGATCCTTCAACTCTCTAACATCCATGTCTGCTTCTGAGAGGAAAACGCAGAAGATCAAGCAAATCAAGCAACATAACATGACCATAATCACAATCACAATCACATATCGATCATTAAAAAGCAACAGTGGCCGATGTGATGAAGGTGAGAAAGCTAACATGGAGCCATAACACTCCTGAAGGATCACACAGAAAGCATGCGTTTCCAGCAGTGGCTTAAATGTAACATGCAATGTTCAGAATTAAATCTGTAGATTAATCTAAAATGTTTTCGATTCATTTTCTAAATTTATGCATAATTCATGTCACTAATCTGATATGGTCTTTCAATCTTCCACCGTTATTCAGAGTGGTTATGCATCTACTTGACATCACAGGAAATGAAGCACGATGCACAAACAATTTCAAATGCAACTGTCATGAGTTATTGTACATCATGAGGCTTAACTGAAAACACAATTTAGCCAGTGCCCTGATAACGGCAACTCTCAACTTCCCCCAAAAATGAACATTCTGTCATCATTTACTCACCCCCAAGTTGTTCCAAACCTTCATGAATTTCTTTCTTCTGTTGAACACAATATAATATATTTAGATGAATTTAAGTAACCAAACAGTTTCTGGTCCCCATTGACTTCCACAGTGTTTTTTCCATGTTGTTTCTTCCAACTATGGAAGTCAATGTGGACCAGAAACTGTTTGGTTACCCACATTCTTCAAAATATCTTCATACAAATTCATACAGGTTTGGAACAACTTGAGGGCGAGTAAATGACAGAATTTCATTTTTGGGTGAATTTCATTTTTAATTACAGAAAAGAAAAACTGTATTTAATAAGTATTATTTAAATTATTAAAAATTAAATAAAAACGTACTAATAAATAATACATTTATTACAAAGCATTAAATAAGCTTTTAAAAATGTTACTAACCATATGAAAATTTTTTTTTTTTTAAATCTCAACTTAAGGAACCATTGTTTCCACATTCTTGGACATAAAAAAAGAAGTGATTTCTAGACATTGAAAGTCATGTGAATGAATAATACCTGCCATGGGCATTTTAATACATATTATGAATATACATTTTTCTAGAATTGCCAAGTTCTAAAATATTTTATCAGCTAGAAATTTTGAATAATAATAAAAAAAAATCATTATCCTTAATTCTTATCCAGCAAATCATGAACAAATGGAAAGGCCATTCAAATATTGTTGTGGACAATGAGAGGCATAGGAGTCAAAAGGTTGAGAACCAGTGGTTCATATCCAGCACATATGCAAACGCGCATGCATGTTTTCAACTGCAGCATCCATTCACCGGCATATTACTTTGAGCAAAAGCATCTCATTGCTCCATTCAAACAGACACACAAACACTCTCTCTCTCCCTACCACCATCTGGGTCCATGAGCATACCTGTGGAACAATACACCTCAGTCTCAGACACAGGAAAATATTCAAATTCAATCTCTGATATGGGCCACTGCATAGGTACTTCTGGTCACATGCCCCATTTTTATGACACGCCATATTCAATACCAGTTTGTCCAGGAGTCTTTGGAAAACTTGATTATAACCATCCTCATAAATGTGTGATAATCTCCATCACACATTTCTGAGTATGTAGTTCATGCAGGCATCTCTAGTGACTGACAACCTAATAACGGCAGCCTAAGAGCATCGTCTTGATCCCATTTATGAAATCAAACGGAAAAAAACGGGATTAGATTTTAAACATGGAAAGTCTTACAAATTCGCTCAAACTGTTATGCTGACAGTATATTATCTGTAATGATAGATTTTATATTAAATAAGAGAAATCCCCCCGAAAGAAAAATCCCAAAAAGTCAAAGCATTTTCATGAATGATATCCAACTTTAACTTAAAAATACCCACTTTTTGGTGCTGAATATGGTAATTAAATAAGTATATAGGAAGTATTATTAAAATGATACATTTATTATTTCATTATTTGAAATAAGTACCTGATTTCTAATTAATCTAGATAATACAGCGATCTGTATTTGATTTAAAAGAGTGTGAAAACAGGGGCCTCATGCTTACCAGAGAAGAAAATGGTTCCTAGCCCTAGAAGAATGACAGCTGCAAGGATGCACTTGTTCAAAGAAAAGACTGTTTCCTGTTCTCTCGGAGGTGGTTGAAAATCTTCCTCCTCCCCCTCTTCATCATCTTCTGCTTCTGTCTTGTCCAAAGAGCCCAGGTGGGAGATTTTTCTATTTCGTAAACCATCCCCCTCCTTTCCGTTTGTTTCCAACACTTCTTTAGACTCTACACAGAAAAAGGGCACATGATTATTGGGGGATATTCAGTAGGTTAAAAAACCATGATCTGTACACAAATACACAATCCAAACAATTGCATTTCACATAAAAAAAGCAATCTTTTTGTAGCTGGTTAGTGCAACAGCCAAATGACTATTTTAAAAAAAAGTTTAAAGGGCTATTACGGATGCTTCATATGTGTGTGTATAATATCTAGCATTATTTGCAAGATAGTGTATGCTGATGTGCTACACAAGCTACTTAAAGTACCACGGCCAAAGTCTTACTATAATTTTGCTGTAGCCTCATTCCTTTCTTCAAATTACATAAAAGAGCACAAATTTAATAAAGACAAACACTGACACACCACCTTACATCACTTAAAAAAAAAAGGGAAATAAAAACAGAATACACACTGTAGTTTTTTTCAGGATGCAGGTACAAGCAAATGTTCATCTTAAGAAAAAGAGCGAAAAACAGAGAATGATGCATCTGAAATGTAATCAGAGCAGACACGCTGTATTTATATATAAATAAAGAATAATAAACAGAAATCAAGCTGTCAAGCTGTCACCAGTCATGAAAAAAATACATTAATATTTTATTTTTTGACTTTTGAATTGTAGTGTATGCTGATGTGCTACACAAGCTACTTAAAGTACCACGGCCAAAGTCTTACTATGATTTTGCTGTAGCCTCATTCCTTTCTTCAAATTACATAAAAGAGCACAAATTTAATAAAGACAAACACTGACACACCACCTTAAATCATTTAAAAAAAAAAGGGAAATAAAAACAGAATACACACTGTAGTTTTTTTTCAGGATGCAGGTACAAGCAAATGTTCATCTTAAGAAAAAGAGCGAAAAACAGAGAATGATGCATCTGAAATGTAATCAGAGCAGCCACGCTGTATTTATATATAAATAAAGAATAATAAACAGAAATCAAGCTGTCAAGCCTGCTAAAAATATACCCAAATGACTTAAGACTGGTTCTGTGGTCCAGGGTCACATATTTCCCTCGTATGAGTGTATATATTACTATTATTATTTTAAATATCATGAGTTATTGATTATACTACATAAATACTTTGCTTCCATAAATGATATTATGTAAATACTGCACCTATATAAACAGAAGATGTGTATTCAAGTCACTGCATGTATGAATTGCATTTTTTTTTAAATAAATTGACACTTAATGAATTGCCTGAACGTAACGTCATTGACGCTTGTATCAAAATATGTATGCAATAACATGATCATTTTCAAAGCAGAGACTTTCATCCTGGCCTCTGATACGGACACACACCTTTACCTCTGGGGTAAGAAGAGTCCAGCTGTTGCCATTGGCACTGTTGCTGTTTTCAGACATTGCCACCCCTAGTGGCACCGTCCAGCAACTGAAAAACGTGAGCACTTCAGAAAGTCATCAGTTCCATTTCAGTGACGAATCAATAGAAAAATACAACAAAATTTAGTACCAATCTCTATTGGGGGTTGAGTTTCATTGCATGAGTTCAAAATGTTAACATGTAGAGATATAAAGGATATGTAAAAGACCCTGAACATGTACAGAACTACGGTGTTGGCATACATCACATATGCTGTACACATAAGACATATCATAATGGAAAGGACAAAGTTTATATAATAGAGAGGGTGGTGAGTGAGTTCAATAAGGACGGTATCTCCACTACAGGCCTAAATCTCTACTAGTGAAAAAAACATGGGAGTAAAGGAGAGAGTGAAAAGCTGCAGTGAAAGAGTTTTCACTTCATTAGTATTATCCTTGTGTTGTCCCATAGGTTACACCAACGGTTCCCTGGCTGGAAAATATTTTGGCAAAGAACTGTGTAACTAAGGATGTCAAGTGAAACAGCACTAAAGGCATTAATGCAAGAGGAGAATGGTGGAGTTTTACACATACTGACAACAGTGAAAAAAACAAAGCAATGGACCTACTGCTCACTACTAGAAAACCAAGACAGACGTGAGCTACTTTTCCAAGTGGGTCAAAGAAGAACAGCCATTTCAATGAATTGAAGCACCTTATTCAAACATTCTTCCATTTGTGCTAAATCTTTCGAATACTAAGTAGATCTGAGTATTAAATAGATCTGGCATAAACTGAGCAAGAATGGGATCCCGTTAAGCCGAAATGGTGAATCTTCCATGAGAAGGCCTAATCACCGACGTGCCAATTTGTGACACACTTCACTCTTTAATAAGGATCTTTTTCCTTTCGCAGTAATTTGGGTCTGCTAATAATGTGGCTCCCATGAGAGTTTTTTTGAATGTAGCCATGAGCCATGAGAGTTGTTGAGGATGTAGAAAATGGATAACAGCTAAAAATAACACAGAAAGAAGCACAAAGTGCACCTAACTGAACTGGTATTATCCGAGATAATTACTGATCTGAGAAATTCTGAGTATTTTCAGAATTACTGAAAATACTGATGTATTAATGATGTAATATTTTAAATATTTAAAAAAAACTACACAAAAAATTATAAATATAGTATAAAAAATTAATTATTTTAAGTTATTTTATTTAATTATGCCATTTTAAACTGACACAGACAAGAGCTTAGCTTTACTACGCTCCCGAAAATATTGACAATATAGCAGCTCCAGTTGCAAATTTTTGAAAGCTTTTTATGAGGTTGGAATGCTTCCATATTAATGTAGGCTAATACAATTATAAAGTTTTTTTTTTTAGCGAAAATGATCATATTATATACGATAATAAAATGATTGATTATTTTACAGAAGCAACAACAACTGTAATATGGTATTTTAGGGGAAACTACGATTACCATGGCAAATGTGTGTTAATAAACTATTAAACCAGGTGAGGCCAGACCGTTTTGAAATGTAAAGGAAAAGCTTCTTTAGGTCCTCTGTCAGTTTGATCTCTCCCATCACCTCCTCCAATATAAAATGCCCATACAAGGACACATCTTAACGTTATGCGAATATCAGCACAGTTATTACTTCCATGCATCATATACGCATCGCATGTTCTCTGTGTGTTTGTATGTTACACGGATGTTGGACGTCTGTGTACATCTTATTAAGCAGATGCAGTTGACAAAATGGGAGTGTTCAAAATAAAATCCGCAGGCAAATGTCGAAGTCGCACTTTACATATACACACATGCATGCGTGCACGCCGGAAATATAGAAAAAAAGCAAGCCCCAAGTTTCATGTACAGGCGATCTGAGTTTGGTTAAATACGAAAATTGTCTAAAAGTATTAAAGAGAAGCATACCTGGTAACTCTGAAGCACCTTCCGCCTTTAATACCCCTTTAATTTCCGCCACGCTCTCGTTGACTTGTGCAAAGTTGCAAACTCAAGTGTGCAGTTTTGTTGACAGGTCTTCGGTCTCTAAAGTTTTCCACCAATCAGCGCTTGAGTTTAGCAATGTCCCGCCCACAGACTGTTGTTCTCCACCAATGACAGCATACTTTATCTTCCGCCCTTCAAAGCACACTTTTTTTTGTGACTGCCGAACACAGGTGACATGAAAATGAGGAGCATGTGCTCAAACAAATGGGAAAGGATCCCAACAAACCTCCATCCGCATGTATTAGACTTGGTGTTTAAGTCTAGTTACGTAAAACATGGAGAGGGTGTTCTATTAATTTTCCTCTAAGCAAGACTTTAATATAGACTAGTATCAATTATGTATGTGCTTTATGTTATTTGATTTTTTTTATAGGCTGTTTGGAACAAAATATGGTTTTGAGTCACTCCAATTGCTCTGATGAATAAAACGTTTTCCTAATAACAAGAAATGAATGTTTGTGATGCTCTTCAATTGTTTATGTTTATATAGTATCCTTATTTGGATTTATGTTGTTCCTTATGTGTCTTGAGAACCTGCTAAACTGTTCTGTATTTTTGAAATTCATAAAAAAAACTCACTATAATTTTATAGTTCACATTTAAAAAATGAGACTACACTTTTGAAAGTGTGTCCTGACTCCTGAGCCATATTTATGGACCCAGTTTTACTGTGGCCATGCTTATATCACTTTTTGACTTGTGTCGGTAAGCAATCCTTTACAAAATGCAATCTGCATAGTAACATAAAACCAGACCTTTAGCAACTGTATAAAAGGCCATATCAACCACCCAAAACACACTAGCATTGCGGTGAAGAGTTTTGCATGAGCAAGCATAACCTACTTTTTTTTTTTCAGAAACTACAGATAAGTGACTCTAGACTGGCCTTTAGAGTAATGCCTCAGTTTACAATAGGCCATTTATTTGCATATAAATAGCATTTGCTATGCTACCTTTTCAGCATGTATTATAACCCATTTTGTAGACATTTGTGTAAAATGTTTATGATGTATTCTAATAAGCACATTTATGGCATACTGTATTTGTATTCACATAAGTACTTTGAGGTATTGCTAGTAATAATAGTGTCTTTACATAGAAACTAATAGCCCTACATTTTACGGTCACAGATGTACCCTAAATTTTAAAGGGGTCATATGTTGCTAAAAAGAACATTATTTTGTGTATTTGATGTAATGAAATGTATTTGAGGTATTGCTAGTAATAATAGTGTCTTTACATAGAAACTAATAGCCCTACATTTTACGGTCACAGATTGTACCCTAAATTTTAAAGGGGTCATATGTTGCTAAAAAGAACATTATTTTGTGTATTTGATGTAATGAAATGTATTTATGCGGTTTAAGGATTAAAAAACACATTATTGTTTCTCCTCTATGCCCAGTCTTTCTGAAACACGTCGATTTTTTACAAAGCTCATCGTTCTGAAAAGCGAGGTGTATGCTGATTGGCCAGCTATCCAGTGAATTGTGATTGGCCGAATACCTCAAGCGTGTGACGGAAATGTTACGCCCCTTACCATACTGTGATGCCCTGTCCTGGACTCCTGGCCGGAGCGACGAGACAAAAACATTAAAACCTATTATAAACAAGGCATTTGTTGCATCCAGTGAGGACATAATTACAGATTATAATGACTTATACTGTCTTTGCTTTGCATCGCGCCGCGTAAACATAAAACCATGTCTGCATTTGTGATCGGAGAAATGACAAACGCTACTCTACACTGCTCAAAACTCGCGTTTGAATCGTCAGTGGCAAATTCTTTAAATATAAAAAACGTACTACAGTCTGTGAGTCAGAACAGCCAGCATTGTAGTCTACTCTCCCAGGATCAGGAAACAGTCCTCCATAAAATGCGCTGCACACATCGGAATATTTGGGTTGAACTGTTCAGGAACAGTGTTGTAAATACAACTTAACCACTGATTTCTAGTCGTGTCCTCTTTTGGAAGACCAAACAAAGTAGTTTTGCTTTCACAACGAAACACAGCGTCTCACATGGTGGGCTAGAGTGAGCACAGGCCGGAGGCCTAGAGTCAGCGGAGGCCGGCTTGAGTGAGCGGCGGCGGGAGGGCTTGCAGCAATCACATGTGACAACCCCGGGCTGGACTCCGCTTCGTCCATGGTGAAGGCCGATCCGGCGATCCACAGCCACAGCGTGAAGTTGATGTGTTTCCTCAGCGACCAGCACGGATCAGCTCCAGGCATGACGAAGCGAATATCTTTTGGAAGGCCAAACAAAGTAGTTTCGCTTTCACAACGAAGCACACAGCGCCTTCACTACACGTAGCGGTGGCGGCAACAATACTACAGCAAGAATAAAAGTTACGCCTTCTTTCTTTGCGTGAACATTTGGGCGGCGTTATGCAAATCTTCCCACATAGTGACGTAGACGTGTGGGGGCGTGTTAGAACGAGACGTTTTAGGTAGGCGTGGTTGACTCTTAACTTTTATAAAGAATATCTCTTTGGATTTGAGACTTTAGTCTTTGTAACTTTACAGATCTTCTTTATGCACCAAGAGCCTGTAACACTCCAAAGAGAAAGGAAAATGTTTAATCTCATCATATGACCCCTTTAAGCCATTTAAAAAGTCTTGGGACCTCTTAGCTATTTAAAAAGAATTACACAATGTTTTTTTTTTCTTTTTTATTTATTGCACAATTTTCTCAAACGGTGTCAGTTAAAACATGTTTGAATACCACCAGCATGTTGACAGGGATGTGATCTATATGCCTTATACAACGCCTATGTGATGCGCTGCTTTAAAGTGCTAATAGTTGTGACTTGTGAGGCATGAGTGTTTATGCCTGTGTGTGAAGAGATCTGGATTCAGGCCAAAGCATCAACACATCTGTGATCAATCAATCATCCACCTGCTCAAAGGCTCTGAAAAAGGAAACATCATAAATATCACTGTACAGCTGTTTTAAATATCATCTGACGATTAACCTACTAATTTAGTAATACGAGAATTATTCAGACTTCAAAATCACTAGAATTATTTTGCGGTTGCCTAGGGCGCCCTCTAATGGTAACATCACTATATTGCACACACTTCTACAAGGTCAGGTCTAAATGTGCGCCCTTGTTTTTTTATTTCAATAAATGTTTAAATAATCGATGCAAATTAACCTTAAAGTATTGTTCAAACTTTAAAATCTTATAGGTGAAACCTCATTCATCTTTTTTACTTTTTTTTATTAGTTTGTTAATGATAACTAAAATCAAAATTAAAATGACTAAAAATTGTTTTCGGTCACTAAAATGAAGCGGAGATCAAATAAAACAAATATAAGATGAAAAACGTAAAAAATTTTTTTAGAAATTTCGCCTTGGCACACGAAGAGATAGTTCATCCCAAAGTTGTTGTTTTCTTCTTCTGTTGAACATAAGAGAAGATATTTTGAAAGACTGTTGGTAACCAGAAACCATTTGGTTACCAACATTCTTCAAAATATCTTCTTTTGTGTTCAGCAGAAGAAAGGAACTCAAACAGGTTTGAAACAACTTGAGTAAATGATGATAATTTAAAACAAATTGTTGGTACTAAAGTACTAAAATGACTAATATATATATATATAAAACGTAAAAACCTTAAACAAAAATTTAGAAATTTCGCCTTGGCACACGAAGAGATAGTTCATCCCAAAGTTGTTGTTTTCTTCTTCTGTTGAACATAAGAGAAGATATTTTGAAAGACTGTTGGTAACCAGAAACCATTTGGTTACCAACATTCTTCAAAATATCTTCTTTTGTGTTCAGCAGAAGAAAGGAACTCAAACAGGTTTGAAACAACTTGAGTAAATGATGATAATTTAAAACAAATTGTTGGTACTAAAGTACTAAAATGACTAATATATATATATATATATATATATATAGTTTATACATAATTTACTTAAACTAAAATTAAACAGAAAATATACAAATAAAAGCTAAATCAAAATATTACTAAATAATATGTAATATTATTTAGTAATAACTGTAACTGTAAAGTTGTATTTATTTACCTTTCTCTTAGTCCAGGATCTCTTTGATGCACCAGCAGCAGAGCAGGAAGTAGAGGCACTCTTTAAGAGACTGGATAACTCCATAAGCCATATTCCCTCCCAGCAATTTCTTGCCATGGCCCATCCTCAGAGCTGCATCTCTCAGGTTTTGGCCCAGTGAGGAGGGCATGGCCTGGGGCAGCGGGCGCTGTGGGTGCATCTCACTCCACCTTTCCACGGTCGACTGGAGAGCGCGAGCGATACTCGAAGGGAGGAACTGGAGGAGAGTGGGCCAGGTCCTTGTTTGCCGCTGCGCGTTGTGGGTCCGTTTTTGCAGTTGATTATCTTTACAGTTGTTTTGTTTTTTTTCTTTCAGAAAAGAAAGTGTCATGATTACCCATAGAATCCCAAAAGGCGACTGTGTTTTATCGATGTGTCTGTGTTTGGTAAAAAAGGCACAATCAATATCAAGAGCAAACAAAGCTGAAAAAAGTGGTTTCCTGTTTGTGGCTTCAACAGAAACTGCACTTGTGGCTGCAAAGACACGTTTAGCATTCATTTGGTGTGCTTTTCCTCTTCTTGGTTGGTGTGTCCCCTTGCAATATATGTTGTTCAAATGCAAAGTGATTATAGTGAATCTTTGAAAAGGGCGCATGTTTTATAACACACATCTTAGCCTCCTTACACGTTCTCTTGTAACTCAAGATTCCGAACAAACAGAAGCAGCTGACACCTCGATACACGTGAATATCGATTGTCAATGCGAACAGAAGTAACGTCCACAAGAAAAATAGAACCTCCAATTCCCAGAATAAAACCATCCTGATGATGTCGTCAGCTGATCGAGATGACATCATTGCAACAAATATATCAAATCTTAGTTAAAATGACATCATAAGAAGGCTTTAATAATCTGAGCTCAAACTACAGTCCTTCAGTCCTATTCAGGCTTACGCGCCCATGTCCACTGATTGCACTTTTTCTCTCGTCCCTTTTGTCCCAAGCTGATATATGATGTTATGTGGAAAGGGAACGTTCCCTTTTTCCACAGACTAGTTTGTTGCATCTCATAATGGGCCGCGTTAAGTCCCTCACAGCGTCTGCTTATTTGCATAAGGAAAAATCCACACAGCATCCGTGCTGCTAAAGTGTTCACATATGTTCAGGGGTCTTCCCAAATGACCAAAATTCCCAATTTTTCTTGGGGATCACGTTCGGAATTCAATAAAGGGTATTGTGAGGTTGAGATTAAGAGGCATTTTTGTGTGTTATCTCCTGGTGGGAACACTGGGAGAGAGATATTCCGGTGGGAATTACGGATGTGATTCATTAGATGCGGAAAGTGATCGTGAGAATGAGCTCTGGATTCTCTTTAAAGTTTTGCATATTCATCAGATAGTCTTGACACCACGGCAATGCAAGATTTCCAAACGACCGCAACAAAATGCTCTCGGAAAACAAACTCGTTGGATTTCGCCCATTGCACTAGATGTGAATCTTTAGAGCGCTACAAAGGTTCTGCAATTTTAGTACATTCACATCAACTCTCGACTCTAAGAATGCCCGGGCCTGTTGCCATGGTTACAGGTGCACCCCTGTCTTAATTCAAGACATGTCGTCATGTTTGGGAAGTGATGTCACATCCATTACGCATCTGCTTCTCTTTCAAACGCCTCATCGTTTGGCTTTTTGTATTCGCTTATTTCAAGCGACGTGTCTGTTTGTCCTTGAGTAAAATGATTGCATCGTTTTGCAATTTCATGGCCGGTGGTTGATGCGGTACAAAGTTCTGTTTCTGTGAAGATATGATTAGCTTACACTCCCAACTGGAAAAAAAATGTTTTTCTCTAATAGAGTCTGGCAAAAAAGTAGGAAAGAGAGGAGTTTTTTTTCTCTTCAATGTGTTGGAAAAATTTTTTTTTTTTTAAGCTCGGCGATCAACTGGCTGCTGCAGACACACCTCACTTCCTGCCGAGATGATTGGCAGCCGGTTGTCCATGTGATAGCTAATCAAGTGACTGACATTCTCGAAGCGGTGGTCTTTGGTGCGCACCTATGAAAGGAAAAAAAAAGAATTAGTATAAGTATTAACATGCTATAGAATTATATAATGTTTTATCAAGGACAAAATGTTGAGAGTGTGGTATATTTCATCACATTACTCACCACTCCCTCTGGAGAATATCAAGACATATATCAGAAATCAAGATATTTTTCCAACCAAATACTCACTCATATCAAATGCATCTCTGTGAGCATTTCCATTGGCTGCTGCCGCTGGGAGGCGGGGTTTATCCACATTGACATATGAGGGGTCATCAAACAAGCCTCCCTCCTTAACACCCACTGAAAGAGAGAAAGAGAAAAGAGAGGACGACTGTGAGGTTAAAGTGAGTTAACCTTCAGGTGAGTGAGCTTAAGCGGTGCCATTCTGAATCCTATTGTCAGCAAGGCCAGCGATCCAGAAGCCACCTCTCAAAGGAGCCGTGTAATAGGTTTGGGCAGCGTCCAACAGAGAGCAATGAACAGTGACAGAAAAACTGCTGACTCACTCTGCAGAATGACAGTCTCAGCTGAGAGCAAAATGAAATGAAGGGAAGTGCGACAATATAAGACTGACAAATACTATGTGGCACTATGAAAGAAACAGGGCAGGGATTATTAGTGTGAAGCATGTGTGTTTGTGCAAACCTGACCTGGTAGTGGAGGCAGAGGCTGCTTGTGAATATCGTTCTGGCTGGGCTGTCCATAGGGCTGTGGAGAAGCAGTGAATTAGAGTGCTGACACATATATTAACCAGTGGAGTGTCTTTTGAAGACTTTGAACTGAGTGACTGCACTGGTGGCTTTTCCAGCTTGTGAAGACTATAACATGAGCCAATAGCACTCATTTCAGTATATGAAATTATTTTATTCAATTAAATAATAATTAATGATTGTATAAATGCAATCATTAATTATTATTATTGTTTCAATATTATTAATTAATAATAAAGAATCAAATAATAAATATTAATTAAATAATAATGAATAATTCAATAATTATTACACACACACACACACACACACATTCAGTTTTAGTTTTTACCTGTAGTTTTAGTACCTTAAACTTATTTCCGTTAGTTGCCTAGGCAACAGTTCTCATTTTCATTTAATTGTTTTTGATCTAATATTTATATTTCAGCTTTATTTAAATTAACTAAATATTTTTTATAGTTTTAGCTTTAGTTAAAATCAGTCAAAATCAACATTGCATAAAATAATAATTGTTTTCATAAAATGTATGTAGAATATAAAGTATATTTGGATTATCTGTCATCTTTTTAGATATTTTAATTAGAAATAAGGCAAAAGCTTTCATTAGTAATAAGATGTTTTACGGCGTACGATGTGGGTACCTAGTGCAAATAGCCACAATGTCATGTGTTTCAGCACAGACTGTAAACGCATGCTGTAAACAGACATACAGGATATAAAGGGGGTTTCCAAAGACCCTAGGGAGGTACCATCATTAAACAATGTACAAACACACTGACATAAATGTAAATGTTTGCAGCACTTGTTTGAACAGGCACATACCGATCATGAGGGGTAACCAGTTTGGGGGGATTCTTCAGGTACTGTTTAAAGCGGAGTTCAAAAGCCTGGCCGATGGTGCTGATGACCTCCTGAGCCAAGCCCTCTGAGCATTCCAGGATATGACATGCTACAAAATATCAGGTATTGTATATCAAGACATCAGTCATGGCCAGGAACAAGATTTTCCTTAAAGTGATAGTTCACCCAAAAATGAACCCAAATATTTTGGGTAAATAATTCCTTTAAAGCCATACTAAATAATGCTAAATATAATTAAGTAATTTAGTGTTTAGCATCAAATAAAACAAATTGTGCACGGAAAGCTGTAATTTACAATTCACTTACAGACATGACAGAACTCAATGCTAAAGTGTCATGGCATATTTTTACCTCTCTGATTGACAGGGTCTTTGGCGACGTAGGCAACATACTCTGCTGTGTCCTGGGGAGAAACAGAAAGAGAGGGATGGAGAAGAAGAAAGGATGAATGAACAGGAGGACATTAAGAGAAATTAGAGAGTAGACACAAAGAACAGAGGGACAAGCAGAAGATAGTAAGTCTTTTAGTTGAGGATGTCTATTCACTAAAGGGAAGGAAACAGAGGAGGAAACAGTAGAGGGAAAAAAACAGATGACTACAGACAGCTGGACAGATGAATAAGACAAATGAGCAAAAAATGACAGAATGAGAGTAAAGCTGATAGAACCAAGAGTAAGATGAATGAGGAAATTAAACAGGGACGTACCTATTAACTGACTGATTAACTACATGTACATATTTAATCAAAATTAACAATCTAATATATTATATTTAATATTAAATAAAATTAATCAATAATTAAATATATTATATATAATCATTAAATTATTATTTTCTAATTAAATTATTATTTTTTAATTGTTCAATTATTGGTTTAAATTTGATATATATATATATATATATATATATATATATATTCTAAAATGTTATAACTATTAATCAGTAATTGTAATTAATAATTAAAATGACAAAATGTTATATTATTCTATTTTTTTAATCAATTGAATCACATTAATAATCATAATTAACTTACAATTTAATTATACTTTTATTATAATGAATAATTTAATGAATTTAGACAGACTCGGGCAACCCACCAACTAACTGATTTTGAAAATATGTAGTTTTGCACATCCCTACTGCTGTCACGTTGTACTTCAATACACTATCAAGGTCCCTGCAGTGAATGCAATCATTATTTTAAACGAAATGCTATAACAATGACTACATTGAGCCCATTTGTAAAGGCGATCCGAGGACGTATGTATGTGTTGTGGACTCTGGCTTTGCATGGTCATCCGCTCAGCTAATTACTAAACAGATTTGTGCTACAGTTGATTAAATTAACAACTGATAAGCTTAATCGATGAAATTAACAACGACGATCAGCAACCAATGATGAACATCCCTAATAAAGACAGAATAAGAAGTAGAAAGAGATATTGAGAGACGGTGCGACTCACTGGATCTCCTCCGGATGCAAAAGAGATGGACTGCATGTGATGGTTGGCAATAATCTGTAGGGAGAGAGGGATGGAGAACAGGACAATGTGACAAAAAAAAAAGGACAAAAATGTGCAGTTGGCATGAGATGAAAATTAGCAAACATGGAAGCGACAGAAGATAAGTGAAAGCAAAGGATGGACAGAGAGGGAGACAAGGGGAGAAATGATATGGTGAGACTGTGGTCTAACATAGAGGAACAGAGCAGTTGTGTGCAGTAATTCTGCATGGTTTAGATTCATTAAGATAAACACATATCAGCAGGGCAATTACTCCAGGCCCTATTCTGGGCTCCAGTCAGCTGCCTGCTGGGCAGCCCGAACGCTGATAAACCTCACTGCGCTAATGCGAAACACACTGGCATATAACTGAAGAATTATTAGTGAGAAAAAAAAGTCCTGTGGTGCAGCTGTAAACAAGCCAGAGGATATCTGCTCCAGCAGACTACACCAACTTTATATAATCTATTGGGACTCTGTGCAACACTTATTTAGTTAAATGTCGATAAGTGAAAGTTTGCGCATTGTGTTCATAGCCATCTGTTTGCCTTGTAGTACATTAAATAATAACTATATATCAAATTTGATCTTTTAATTGAACTTAATGTATCTTAATACATTACGGCATGTTAAGTGTTCATGTTTTTCTACAGGAGGAAAACGCTTAACCAGAGACTTTGTGCATTGCGTTCATATTCTGCTGTTCTGTGGCCACGGACTTGCGGGTCTTGTCTTTTTCTTGTAGGACCCTGTATGTTATAGTACTAAATTAGTTTTAATCGTTTAATCACCACAGCTTCTTGTCTCCATTGGCAACATGCACGATTTGTGTCGATTGCAAGTGACGTCACAGGTAGTGCAAGTGGCGATTGCAAGTGACACTGTAATTTAGTTCCTTTCTTCTTGTCTTCACCACCTGGCTACTGTTGTAAAATGTTGAGAGATTCAAACAAAAAGTAATAAAAAAAAACGAACAAAATAAAAAAATAAAGACTGCAAGTGACGTCACTAGCGGAAGCGCAAGTGTCTGAGAGTGAAAGTGCAAGGCTGCAGCCAGACCCTCTTGGCTCGCGGCGCCAGGATTCAAAGTCCAAAGCGCGAGGAAAATCTGCTCTAAAACTGTGTTACTCGTCAGTTGCTCGGTAGCATTTTTGTGAATTTTTTTTTTAAAGGCATGTAACCATGGCCGGACTTACCATTGGGCTTGAATGGGCTGCAGCCCAGGGGCCCTGCCTTGTAGGGGGCCCCGCCTTAACCCGTTTACATTTGTTCAGTTATGTGCCAGTCAGAAATTATTAGCCGCATTTCAACAGCGCACACGGGCCAGCCGGGGATAACAGCTTCCAGCTACGACCTTCGAAGCCATAATCAAACAGCATAAACTGGAATTTATGATTTTTTTCACATAGAAAAAGGACACGCGTATTAAATCACGTCTGCACTGCGCCGAATCGCTGATTAATTTGTGATCACATGGCTACTTTAAATGGTTCCATTAAGCCTTTCGCCCAAAAGAGCGCACATTTAGAAAGATAATGATCAATTCTCACGTTCACGCCTCAATTCTTGACAGAGGATGATTCTATATTATATTAATGTTCCACTAAATTAATCTGAAGAGTTTTGAGCGCTTTCTCCCGTCCAAAGACTATAGAATACCCTAATATCTTACAGGGACTTTGTCCCGTCTCACTACCTCCACACAAAGTGGAGCAGAAATTTCATCAAAACGATTTAAAAAAAATACTTAATGTATCTTAATACATTACGGCATGTTAAGTGTTCATGTTTTTCTACAGGAGGAAAACGCTTAACCAGAGACTTTGTGCATTGCGTTCATATTCTGCTGTTCTGTGGCCACGGACTTGCGGGTCTTGTCTTTTTCTTGTAGGACCCTGTATGTTATAGTACTAAATTAGTTTTAATCGTTTAATCACCACCACAGCGTCTTGTCTCCATTGGCAACACACACGATTTGTGTCGATTGCAAGTGATGTCGCAGGTAGCGGAGAGTGCAAGTGACATTGTAATTTAATAAATTTTTTCTTGTCTTCACCACCTGGCTACTGTTGTAAAATGTTGAGAGATTCAAACAAAAAGTAATAAAAAAAATCGAACAAAATAAAAAAATAAAGACTGCAAGTGACGTCACTAGCGGAAGCGCAAGTGTCTGAGAGTGAAAGTGCAAGGCTGCAGCCAGACCCTCTTGGCTCGCGGCGCCAGGATTCAAAGTCCAAAGCGCGAGGAAAATCTGCTCTAAAACTGTGTTACTCGTCAGTTGCTCGGTAGCATTTTTGTGAATTTTTTTTTTAAAGGCATGTAACCATGGCCGGACTTACCATTGGGCTTGAATGGGCTGCAGCCCAGGGGCCCTGCCTTGTAGGGGGCCCCGCCTTAACCCGTTTACATTTGTTCAGTTATGTGCCAGTCAGAAATTATTAGCCGCATTTCAACAGCGCACACGGGCCAGCCGGGGATAACAGCTTCCAGCTACGACCTTCGAAGCCATAATCAAACAGCATAAACTGGAATTTATGATTTTTTTCACATAGAAAAAGGACACGCGTATTAAATCACGTCTGCACTGCGCCGAATCGCTGATTAATTTGTGATCACATGGCTACTTTAAATGGTTCCATTAAGCCTTTCGCCCAAAAGAGCGCACATTTAGAAAGATAATGATCAATTCTCACGTTCACGCCTCAATTCTTGACAGAGGATGATTCTATATTATATTAATGTTCCACTAAATTAATCTGAAGAGTTTTGAGCGCTTTCTCCCGTCCAAAGACTATAGAATACCCTAATATCTTACAGGGACTTTGTCCCGTCTCACTACCTCCACACAAAGTGGAGCAGAAATTTCATCAAAACGATTTAAAAAAAATTAAAATAGCCATTTACAGGGTTCTTATGGTCATGAAAACCTCAGAAAGCTTTGGAAAAGTTGTGGAAATTTATTTTACAAATCTCTATATAACAGAATATATGTTCAATCATGTCCTGAATCTCGGTGCGGGATTGCACATTTTGGTTTTACTCATTCCCACAGGTTCCGCACGTTTGGAAACATGTATTTAATATACAATTTAGGTTAGATGAGTTAAAAAAAATTCACACAGACTATCAGATTAAGTCAGTCATTTGAAAAGAGCATGTGGTTCAGCTGTACCGCGTCTTCTCGCTCTCACTCTCTCAAAATTGCCTCACATCAGCACATCTCGTCTGCACTAAGAGAGCTGCTGCACGCTGCAATACAAGACTTTCGCTCAGCTGACAGGACTGTCACTTGCCTAATCGCGTCAGTGTTGCATCAAAAGTTTTTCATTTGCACGTCTTTTTAAACCATTCGGTACTCGCGCGCTCCACACTAGTTTTCTGGGCGCTCACGGTCACATCCAAAGGGCCCGCACATGAGGTTGCACAAACACCTCCAGAAAAAGTTATTGTTTTCATTGTTTCTGACTCAAGTAACCTTGCATTTTAATAAATAATGTTACATAAAGATAATTAAATGGTCAGTAATAAATGAACAAGTTACTAGCAATGCAATAGCACAAGGATACAAATGAAACAAACTGTGTTTGAACTTTTTCAGGTAGGCTTGCCTAAAACTAACCGTAGCTGCTACTGTTCAGGCACAAAATACTATGATGTATAAAGTCATAAATATAGATTATATTTATATATTATTCCATATTAAATATGAAAAAGTTATTTAGTCAAGAGCAGATTTGAGCAGAGTGATTTTTTTTCTTTTGTTCTTTAACAGACTGACAGACAGCAGGTATACTAAAAACTGCTGTCACTTTCATACAAAATGTTAATGTTAATAATGTTAATTAATTAGGCCTATTGGTTATTGTTAATTAATGTTAACAACAAAAGGCAAAATCACTCACTGCTCTTGACTGAATAACCTTTGTAACTTTAATTTTAAGAATTAATCTGTTGTTTAATTTACAGTGAATTTACTGTTTTTAATTTACAGTTTATTCCACTTCTGCAGCATTTCTGTACCTGAATGTGTTCCACCAAAACTGTTTTTAAAACGAAATTCAGGTCCTGAGTTTAATTTATAATACTGGCTAAGCAAATTACAATATACTTAATATTCTGGCATTCAGTTATGTGATTATGTAACTTATGTTCTCTGCATGAAGTAACGTCTGGCACAGTCGCAGCCTGTGCTTAGAAAGCAAACAAAAAGATAATAATACATCTCTTAGTTTTTTTCTGCTCAGTGTTATTTCAGGGTTTTAATCTCTCAACTGAGAGATCACATCCTGTTTATTGCATTATAGTGACTATTTAATATTGCATCTAAACTTTGACTAGGCTAGACATGTTGCCTATTAATTGTATACAGTATATAAACCTGAAATCATATTTAAATTTTTGTGTACTTTGTGTTACTCCATAATAATGTTCTAGTTGAGGGCATTTGTAGTATAGGTATGGGGCCCAAACATAACCTCAAGCCCAGGGGCCCCTGGCCCCGTAAGTCCTGCCCTGCATGTGACAATGTGATACGTGCAACAAACATCTTCCCAAACTCGTAATGAGAATCATTTATAAATCTGTAGGCTGTTGTCAACAAAAAGAAGCACTGAGATCTTCCTGCGGGTTTCTGCCAAAATAAAAGCAGAGAAAAAGCAACAAATCCATCGACATTAATAAATGATAGTATTGTAATTTTACTGTCATTATGTAAAATAAAATAAAAAAGACAATAATAATGATAATAATAATTACCCTACAACAGCTCTGTTAATACATTTATTATAACATTCACACATAGTGTTCAAATTGGGATCTGTAATATATTCTAATGTTTTAAAAGAAGTCTTTATTTGTACAGTAATAACTACATGCCTGAGTCAGGTCTAAAAAATTGCCAAAAAATATTATTTTACTAACTTATTCATTTTAAGCTAAATTGTGCTTTGTTGGTATAATGTCTGCTAGAATGTTTTTATTTAGTAAATATAATATTTTAAAAGTAAATCTTTTTAATTGTTGTTTTGTAATGTATTTTTTTTATTTTTTATTACTTTTTTATTACTTTTCAGGGAAATTAACCTACTTAAATAGCTTGCTTCTAGCTGTCTCTACACATAGCACAACTAGGATATGAGAAAGTATTTTAAACATTGTTAATACTGAGGAGCTTTTTATTCAGAGGAAGAGATAGCAAAATTCAGTCCATCCCATCCTGCTGTGAAGAGTGCCTGCATAATGCAGGGCGCTTTCATCATTAGCTGCGGGTAACAGTGAATTTCACACAGCAAAGAAGGCACTGTATTCATGTTTGTGTGCATGTGTGATGCCTAACCTGTTTGCAGTCGATTGCCAGTAGGTTCAGACTGCTGGTCGACACGGTGAGGCTGATTGTCATTCCTGCAAACTGGAGATTACTCTTCCCTAAGATGGAGGAGAGACAACGAGAGGAGGGCTGCAAAGAGACAGAAACACAGAGACTCCATTAATTACACCACACACCAGATCAAAAAAAAAGAAAAAGCTAAATATTTTATGATAAAAAGATGAAACCTAAATATTTTATGAAAAGAGGTTTTAATGGAAAATAGAGAACATTTTGAATAGTTTGGTCTGTCTAAGGCCTGATTTACCTCACATGCATAAGTCTCACATTTTTCAGCACCTATATCAACAAGCCAGGCTCAATGAATCAGAATCGTACACTACCATCCAAACGTTTTTTTTTTTTTAAAGAAATTAATACTTTCATTCGGCAAGGGTTCATTAAATTGATCAAAACTGTAAATAAGGGTGTTTTTGTTTTGTTTGAGCCCTTTAAACGCTCTCGGAGCGGTTCAGCTCGTATATGTGAACAAACCAAGTGATCTCCGACCCCCCTAAAATGACCCAAAAGCTAAATGTACTCTGACTACCTCCGGAGGTTGATTTGAATTAATTATTGAGAGAGAGAGAGACAGAGAGGGATGAAAGTTGCGTGTGTGAATTGTATCTGTGTGTCTCATTCTGCAAATGAGTTTTGTTACTTCAAAAACATCAATTGTACCCAATAGTTAATAAAATAAATAGTTTTGCACGGCAGCGTTGACAAGTTTCTGTGCTCCTGAATATTTTCTTGTGCGCAGCGCGATCTCCGATATGTGTGTGCGAGTGATGAGTGTGTGTGTGCATGTGTATCAATTGAAAGCAGCGAAACAATATAGTAGCAATTAACTTTACTCATAATGTTCCCTTTTAATTTTAAATTAATTAAAAAATGCGTTGTTACAGCTCTGCAAATGTGACATGATCAGGGATTGCCAGCTCTTCCCTGTCCACTTCATCTTCCAGATTTTCCACTGCTGCACAGAAAGCTGGGGTCTGTCGGAATTCTTATGAAGTTGTGGTGTGAACAAGAAGAGGTCTGAGATCACATTAGTGCTGAAGAGGACCAAAAAAAGAACCGGGCTCTCTTTTGAGTCCACTATATTGTGAACACCAAAAGGATTGAGGTCACTTTCGGCTGGTTCACTTTAGGTGAACTGGGTTTGGTTCCTTTAAAAGGAACTATATGTGAAAACACCCTAAAAGACCTTTAGAATTTTACAAAAGGGTTGACAGGTTTCCACAAAAATATTGAGCTGTTTAAACAGCTGTTTTCAATAATGATAATAATATTATATATGATGTTTCTTAAGCAGCAAATCAGAATGATTTCTGAAGGATCATGTGACACCGAAGACTAGAGTAATGGCTGCTGAAAAATCAACTTTGCCATTACAGGAATAAATAACACTTTATAATATATTCATATAGAAAATGGTTGTAATTTTTTTTTATAATATTTCACACTATTAATGTTTTTACTGTATTTCTGATCAAACAAATCCAGCTTTGTTGAGCATAAGAGACTACTTTCAAAAACTAAAAAAAAAAAACTACTTTAATTATTCCATTAATTATTCCAAAATTTTGACGAGTAGTGTAGTTGTGAATGAGGTATCTGTGCTGAACCCATTTTTGATGTTACAAACTCAACCAAATATTATTAAAAATAAAATTTTGCAACATAGGCTTTAATGAAGCAATGTGAAATACCAGCATAAACTAGTTCCACATGCAGCAACACAACGCAACACAACACTACTGAGTAAACCTACACTTTGTGGTTTGGTTTTAGGTTTGTGTAAATTACTATTTTAACGTGATCCCCTCTGAATAGACTTAGTGGCATACTACCAATAACAAAAACTCAACATGATAACCCAGAAATCATTTTATTTTCCCTATAGAGCCACTGTAGCAATGCTGTCAGTGTGAAAGCACAACACAAGTCGGATGCAGCAGTTATGCTGATGCTCCGCTTAACACACTATTCATGCGTGTTGTGTGAAACAGGCCTGTGTTGATCATAACCGGGACAGACTTTTGCTCCTCACTCACACACAAACCATATAAGCAAATCGAAAGAGGTCTTGCACTCCCACAACCTCTGAAACCAACCATAAACCAAATATCACAGTCTGACCAGCTGAGACACAACTCAAAGCAAACGTGTGTGAAAGTGTGTTAAACATAACATAGCAGTATTTGTACTGGAAACTGGTCAGGCCTAACAAGAACACTGTGAGGTTTGTGAGCTGTACCTGTAACTGACAAAAGTGCAAATACATTGCGAGCTTGAAAGTCTGTGTCTGAGAAAGTAAGGGGCCGTTTAAACGACAACATATTTTTGAAAACGGGTTTCAAAGTGCAAGTTTTGAAAACGCCACTGTTGTCGCTTCCGTGTAAACACCCAATATGTGTGTAGTATGTGTTAGGTATGTAGACATGCGCAGTATGTGTCGATTTAAAGGCAAGCACGAACAAAAATACACAACTATGGCGGCGTATATGGTACTTCAGCAAAGTGTGGATTTACTTCACCAATATTACAACCAACAGCAGAGACACATCATATACATCATATAATCTTCACTTCTCTACAGGTACTGTTTACTAACAAGGTGACAGCGCCAACTACTGGCCTGGCATACGTAATACAGCTTTTTTGGCTGTTTTCGCGGATATGTGTCAGCTACACCCTTGTCGTGTAAACGTAGCCTAAGATGAGATAAAGCGTTGAATACCTTTCTCCTTCGCTGAGCTCCTTTGGCACCTGGTACTGCCTCACACACCACTGATATTGCCTCTCTGAAATACAAAACAAACGGTTATAAATGTACACGCATGCTGGGACTGTGAGAAGAACATAATCAGATTGTTAGATGAGAGTTTCCATCACACTCCTTTTCATGCATTCACAAATTTCATATGGCTGAGGGACTATTACATTAGACACATGCTCCAGCCATTACACTTCCTGCCATCTCACACATGCATCAGGCAGACATGCAAACAAAAAACAGATTTACTAACAGCCTGCGCCAGCACAAACCGTCTTTTGGCTTTAAAATAGTACTGTCAATATTTACTAAAGACGCACAGTGAAGAATTAGCACCGAAAAGGCATGAACAGCTATTTTTGCGCCTGACCTTATTGAATATGCATTTGTAGGAGTTTCCCTTTCAGACGCAAAATTTATGGGAGGAGAGTATTAAAATGAATCACGCAACGCAATTTACTAAAATTTGCGCTCGTCAAATTATTGGTATTTGCGCCAATATTTGACGCTAATTTGAGCGGCTCTTGGTAGATTGTGTTGGTCATTATGGAAATTATCCTGCTGCGTCTGTGTTCTTTAATTTGCGCATTGCAAGTAAATCACCCACAGAAATTTCCACTCACATTACTGCTTTTTTGGAAGTGTGCTCTCGCGCTAATTTGCCCCGTTGAGTAAATCTGGCCCCAAGACTACTTTTAACAAAAACTATTATGACGACAAAAACTATTAAAAACAAATGTACAAGAGTGAAAAATAGATTTATTATTTATTTTGCAATTAATCTGCAATTATAAATGTATTTATTTTATTTTGCAATTATAAATATTCACTAAAATATAAACAAAAATGCTACAAAATTACGGATCATTATTTCAATCAGTGGTGTAATTGATTCTAAATCTGATTGATTGAATGGTCTGATTTATTTACAATCACTGTTTGTATAATGCACTTTTTTACGTGTTGTCATACGCAGAACAAGTCATAAGGCTGACATCAAAAATAAATATAATTTTTTTATCTGCACATTATAATAAGGCTATATTATATGTAGGGCTGCACAATTTGGGGAACAAATCTGAAAAGCTTCACTCTGAAACATGCTGGACATTTATTTATTTAATTAAATTGCAGCCTTGTGATGACTAAGTGGCAGCATATAAAGTGAATGCTTTTTAGTGTTTTAATTTTAATTTATATATTTAAAAAAATAATAATAGCATAAAATTATTAAATTGCTTCTTTTTTTTTCTTTTTTTTTTTTTTTTAAGTTATCGACCATAACATGAAAATAATTAGTTAGGGTTTTGGGTCAACCACAAATATGTAATATCAGGGCATCCCTATTGAATATTTTTTTATATACTATAACTATAATAACTCATGCACACCCTCCTAATGTTTTTCCTTGACTGCATTTCACCCTCCAGAAAAACAGTGTTCACTGCATGAAAACAGTTTATCGAGCAGCTGCTACTGTCAATATTGAGAAGCAAATGTGTGTAGCATCCATTAACAAATGCAGACACGAACACACAGAAAAAGAAAGGAAACCAGAGGATTCTATTATAAGACTTTATGGTTACACAGCAGGGCTGATGCCATTATAACGCCTCCCTTCTTCCCCGTTCTCTTTCCATGCGAAAGCACTGCATTTCAGCGTAGGTGCATTTTGCAAATGATGTGGTTTAATATGGCAAGTGTTCTGCAGCACTAAATCCCAAAAGTGTGAGAAACCGAATGGCTGTGAGAATGAGAAGGATGGTTGTGTATGCTCATTATTTTAGTATTTTTCTCCTGCGTTCTCTTTCTGTCACACTCTGTGAGAGAGCAACATGAATTTTTTATCAGAGGAGGAGCTTTTAACCGGACCCGTGCGAGAGAGTGTATATGTTCGTGCACATGTGCATTAGGATGTGGAGAGAAGGAACGATTAAATCACTCCTGTGGGACACTGTTGATAATCATACACTGGATATTTGAGCGAATATGAGAGGAAGTGCAAGCAAGAGTGAATATGTGTGTGCGTGTGTTACCTGGTAACCTGAGTTCTGGTGTTGAAGTCCAGTGCTCTCATTGACTGCAGCACCTCCACGCAGCCCATATACTGCAGCAAAGACAAAGACGACAAACCTTCAGTCACAGCACTTCTCGTGCTAGTCCTCCAACCACAATTTAGAGAACAGAATATGGTTAAGTGTTGCACAGTTGCCTTGTGTCAAGATTATTGAGTTGGCCAGGCAGCTGTAGTGCATGTGGTTAAGTGTGTCTGTGTGTATGCGTTTTATGAGAACTGATGCTCTAATTATGAAGCACTAATCAAATAAAGCAGTTCTCAATGTAGTACCTGCCCGTAGGCTTGGATTCATCTGAAAATGCCACACATTAAAGAAAGCAATCCATTAAGCAGATAAAATGGACTCACTGAGAGAACTGAAAAGCAGCAGAACTCCAAACTGTTAACCAACAATTATATCAACATTAGGGCTGAATTATACATATATTTTTAAAAATCCTATCGCCGCTTGGACATGAAGGTATAATAATAACATAATAATAATAATAACCATCATCATTATAATACCCACGAAAATTTTCAGAAATTAACAAGTAATGCTTATCGTCTTCAAATTAATGTTTTGCCCAAACTCTGCTCCCAACAGAAATAGTATATGGGTGGGTCTTTAAATGAACAAAAAAATAAGTAAATAAAAACAAACAAACTAAAAATAAATACATTTCAGCCCACTTTTCATGTACAGCTGTTTTAATAAATTATTTGTAGCAGTAGTAGTAGTAGTGTAAAAATGTGACTAAAAACATTTTTTTTTTACTGTTGTTATGGGCTGCGTCTGAAATCTATGGAAGCCCTGAATATATAGAGATATACTGAGATATAAAGTCACAATTGCGAGATATAAAGTCACAATTCTGACTTTTTTTCTTGCAATTGCGAGTTTATATCTCGCAATTCTGACTTTTTTTCTCGCAATTCTGACCTTTTTTCTCAGAATTGCGTGATATAAACTTGCAATTGCGAGTTAAAGTCCAATTTTGAGGGGGGAAAAAAAGACTGATATGTTCTCAGAATTGCGAGTTTATATCTCACAATTCTGACTTTATAACTCGCAATAGCGAGTTTATATCTCACAATTCGGAGAAAAAAAAAGTCAGAATTGCGAGTTTATATCTCTCAATTATGACTTTTTAACTCGCAATTGCGAGTTTGTATCACACAATTCTGACTTTTTTTCTCCGAATTGTGAGATAGTCGCAATTAGCTCTTTTATTTTTTATTCAGTGGTGGAAACGGGCTTCCATAGAAATCACCCTCTATTCCCTTATATAGTGCACTTCTTAAGTGGAAAGCCATGTGTAGTGGTGTCTGAAACCATAGTGGAAATTATCAAGGGCCCTGATTCATTCCCACAATGCAAGGGTATTCAACTGATGTACACTCAATGTCTAGCCGCTAGAGAACACTCATGCATATCTTGCAGAAAATGGCGACTGCAGATCTTCCAGTGCACCCAGTGTCTGAATTCACACACTCATTTTCCTTCACTCATTTAGTGGACTATATTAGTGGAGTAATGTAGGTAATAGGCAATGAGGGTGTGGGGGCAATTTCAGATACAGCCCTGGTCTTGGAGTCTCCACGAATAGGCTGATGACCTGAATCAGATGTGTTTAACTATGGAAACATACAGTGTGCACTGTTGAGGGGGCACCAGAAGCACTGTTCTAGGGCATTGTTTGGTTGTTTACTATGGAGTTCTAGATGGTTGGGTGGTCCAAGTCTCTATGATAATCTAGACTCCAGATATGACTTAAGTTCCTGGTTCAATGTAAGTCTATGAGATTTCTTTGACTTTTTTATCGTCCACCACTCTCTTCAACAAGTTGGCCGCAGTCCATACAGTGTAAAACAAATTATGCAACAAAGCTTAATAGGTTAGGAGTGTGTTTGACTATGCACATCACTAATTAAATCAATGCAAAGGTAAAAAAGGGAAAAACAACCAGAAAAGAAACCAGGGGTGGTAAGTGGCCAGAAAACTGGATGGACAGACCCATACATGCATCTTACCCTGACAGTGTAGGAGACCCCAGATGTGCTGACCACATTGTCCGAGTGCAGCCAGCCTCGGGTGGGCTTGTTGACGAAGGATCCATGCCGCGTCCACTCATCTCCGCCGAGCTGGCTACCTTCCACACGGGCCCTCCGCGAGGCCCCACCCAGCCGGTTCATATCCTGTGGGGGACGAGGAGGAGGAGATGGGGCTGTTAGAGAAAGGAGAGGAAGAGGAGAAGGAGGAGAAGAGTTGGCGGTGGAGGTCCGAATGTCTTCTGGAGACCCTCCCAAACCTCCCTGACCACCCGGCACGCTAGCCGGCCTGCTGGAGGCCTTCAGGCCTGGGAGCAGAGTGGAAGACACACCCAGCCGCAGGGCTCCCATCCTGGGGAAAAAGGAGCAGAGGGTGGTGGGGCTGTTTTCAGCCTGCCGTGGAGACGAAGGGGGGAGGATGGGAGTGAGGGACGAGGAGGAGAGAGAAGGAGGGATGCCAGGAGGGGTGAGAGGAGCAGAAGAAGGGAGAGAGGGATTGGACGCCGTCTCGTCTGTTGAGCTGAAGGAGTCGCTCCTGAAGGGCATGTATTTGGTTTTGGGGACGAGCTCCATGATGTCTCAGCCGTCTCAGTGTCCACTAAACATCCTTAATTGTCTCTCCACGTCACTCTATCACAATCGATAACTTGTTTTCCCTTGTCTTTTAAAGTCCTCTTTTTCTCTGCATCTACCGATTCCTTCATCATCGCACCAGAGAGATTTGTGCTGACCGTTCAGTCCGGAAAGTATCAAAAACAGGATGCGAAAAGACAGATGCAGAAAAGTAATAAAGTTTTCTGCTGTTGTCATACACAGCGTGTAGGTTTTGCATCAGATCTTAAGTCTGCATAGAGATTCTCAGGACACTATGAATTACTAAATATAGTATGATTGTCATGAAGTTATTGGTATAGTCATACATAAGTGTTCCAGACACAATCTGTCTCGGTAGATGTGTGAAAGAAAGTGCTATTGTGTTTTATATGCATGCGAGTGTGTTTACGTGCATGTTCATTTCTCTTTGCATGTGCTGGGCGCCACTCTACTAACTCTTGTCTGACAGACTCCCATAAAAAGCCTATTAGCTGCAGCTGAGACTTTGAGAGAGGAGGCTTCCGTCAGACAGACGGATCGATAGAGTGAGAGAGGAAGAGAGCGGGAAGAGAAGGATGGAAAATGCTAAAAGTACTGATCCAGTGAATGTGGATCATTTAATGATGATTCAAACTGCTGCGCTCAGTGATGATTAGACAGGCGCCAATCAACATAATCCTCAACGTTTGGTATAAAGACTTAATTTAGTCCAGGTGTTAAAAAATGTACACCAGGGATCTACAACAAGGGGTACACTGACCTTTAGGAGGTCTGTTAATCATCAATTTATTTTGAAACTATTTATTTTTGTGGGGGGGAAAATTAAATTTTGCATACAATATTAAGCTAAATCTGAAGTTCAGAAGCTAAAGAGCAGCTAAATGTTTAATTTTTCCTTCAACATTATTAATAAATAAAACTGAAATGTAACATACGAGTTTTTGATTCTGTGCATAATAATGATTATTTTAATGGGTTTTAAGCATCATATATATAAATATATTAATATGATACTATACAGATTTTACTATAGGCCAGACTTAAATTCAACACGTAATTTCATACAATATATAAAAAGGGGACCTAATATACACTATCTAGCACCTAGATTACATGAAGTCTGAGTACATGCAGGTTTATTTGTACCATAAGTCTAAATCTGCCACCTCACATCCTGTCACACATCTGAAAGAGCTTAGAGCTGACACATCCCCATCTTTTCCTGTCACTCCCTTTCCCTCTTCCTCCAGGTGATTGTGGGACCTCTGTCGCCAAGCCGAGCTCTATCCCTATCTTTCTCCTCCTCTTCCTCACGTCTTTTCCAGATCACCTCCGGCTGCGCTGCTTTCGTGCCCTCTGCGCTCGTCCCTTTAAGTCTATCCTCCTCTCTATCCTTCCTCTCCTGGAATCCCTCCCTCAGCCTCCACACCGTGTGTCCCACAGTGTTCCTCCTCTCCTCCTCCAGCTTCTGCCTCTCCAGCTCACTCTCCCTCTCCAACACGCTCGCTCTCTTCTTCCAGATAATCTCTCGCTCCCCCGCACCCCCTCCCACGTCTTCTTTCCCGTTCTCCAGGCTGTCCTGCTACTCCTATTCTCCTTTAAAAAAAACAACAACAAAAAAAACACCTGAGAGCCTCTTTGCAATCTTCAAATTAGCGCAATAATTCACTGAATCAACGAACGCAGGTAAAAATTATTTGATTATATACACGGATAATTAACCCTGATAAACAACAGTTTGTAGAAATATGAAAACGACAAATGACTCAGAAAGCCCTGAAGCAGTTATGCCAAAGTTAAATATGGCTGTATAGAAGATAACATGGGTTCGAGCACCATTTAGAGAACTGATACTGATTGGTTGGTGTGATCTGTGAAGAAGTTAAAGTGTAACAATACAGCCGCAAGGGAACTATGATGTTCCTAAAACGAGCACGTTCCAGCACTGTCAGGGTGACGGTAATGAGACCCGATTGGCCAAATCTGAAGTACCGCCTCCAGAGATCTGCTCATTAGACGCTAACTGGAAAATCAATCAGATGCTCATTAGCCTTAAAATTAGGCAAACAGTCTTGGATTGAGCAGTTCTTTATAGATCTGTTTCCTGAGTGAAAACCTACCCTCTAAACATCACTTAGCAAAGTCAAACAGCGAATTTAACCACACCAATGCACATCCCTAGTGTAAAGCACTTTAAAACCTCTGATAGAGAGCCAACAGTTTTGTAACTGTTTTGTAACTTTAACAGTTCTGAGCTAACAGACCAGGGTAACTCTAAACCTCACAAATGATTGGCATATATAGACCATTAACAGTTTCTACTGGTGTTATGAATGCCAGTTTATAGCCAAGTCCAGCCGTCTTGGACCAAATCCACTCTTGTTCCATGTACAATGGTTTTCACCGCATATATTTTACATTAGCAACCACAAAAACACCTTGAGCTTCTATTGTTGTGGTTTACTTTGTCCATTCAGCTGTTTCTGATTGGTTTTTTACTCTTTAGCACCAGTGTGTGACCACAAAGAAGCCTCAGGGCTTCAGAAGGACAGAGTGTCTTGCCTCAGATGTGCATGAACAAATGCGAGACATCCCAAGTTGTTCCTACAGATGTGACTGGCAGTCAAAGACAACGATGTGGCCCTATTATCTCGGTTGGAGTGCGAAAAGACCCGAGAGACCAGAGGGATTTATGTGCACTCCACTGCATCTACAAAGCGCCACATTAGTGGTGCTATTGGGCCATTCTTATGGAGAGATTCCTCACAGAGGACCTGTAAAGAGAACCACTCAGACCTGGTTGACAAAGCGCAGTAAGTTACGAGATGAGAAGTTCATAAACCGTATCAAGACGACATGGCACAGAACCAGTAGTTTAGTGCTGCAGAGCTTACTGTATTCAGTATAGTCCAAACAGCTTTGCTCATTTTATTTATTATACACTTACACAGAAGTGTCCCAGACTTGGCTGTATTACAGAGTCGTTCATCGTGTCATGGACTTTATAGACGTCAACAGACTCAACACAAAATGGCACAGAAATAGCACAGTGTTTAGGAGAACCTGTACAGAGAAGTAGAAATCAAACTATAAAAAAAAAAAACATTTAAATAATATCATAACAGTTTAACACACTATGGTAACCTAGCTTGGGTGTAGCACCTGTCGGTTAGGAATATGGCAAAATCCCTGTTTTGATATGATGGGTTGTTTCAGAAACCAGTACACATGAGTGAACGAGTTGCCAACCCAACAGTGGCTGCACTGTATCTAAAGGCTGAGAGGTTCCTGTTCGTCTGAAGTGAAACCAAAGGCAAGTAAACCAACCACATAGAGAGACTATTGTCAAGCACAGGTGTAGTTAATAGGCTAGACTGTATATTTTTATTAATGTGAGCCGAAATGGCTAATCTCATTGTCCTAAAGGTAAATCAGATGTTGAATTAGTGCAGTTGAGCTCCAGCACAAATGGAAAAACCTGAGTTTAACTACACCATTTCAATATAAAACATCATAAATCAATGATTTTGATGGTCAGTGAAAAGATAAGTCCGATGTTGGATATGGCAACTCTGATTTAGAGATTAGCCGAATGAACTAAAGATTCAGAGTGAGCACCTTGAACCCTCGTAAGGTCTGAAGGCACGACTCTTTCCTAATACTGGCGACACTGAACATAGAGTCCGGTTAAAAGCATAACTTGAGACACTGCAACACGCTAGCGCTGAAGTTGCAAAAGACAAAGCATTGAGAACTTAACATGCCAATGAACCCGTTGCCATGGTAACAGACTGAGGAAAAACCGTGCGAGACAGAGTCGTGACACAACCCAAACAAAGCCCGACAAGTTTCGCCAACACAAAACCTGTCGGCTCTCTCCCAGTCCAATCACGAGAGCTCAGAGCCAGCATGAATCAATGTTGTGCAGCGAGCGCTGGCACAGGACAGGAAAGTTCAACCGCTGCTGCCACAAACACCACAGCGGTGATCAGTGTTGACATCCAAACTCAAAAAGAACCAGACACACATCTGAACACATGCACAGAGCGCAGTCGTGGCACCGGTCCAAATGAGAAAATCAAATATTACTCGAGTACACACACACTCTCTTTAGACAGCCTCATGCACACTTCCACCTAAAGACAGCAGAACTAGCAAAAGCTAAAAAGTAGTCCTGATATCTATTAAATATTTACCGATATCTATGAAAGCACCTGTTTATACACTACAAATAAAGACATCTAAAAGGTTTGCATAAAAAACCTGATTTTTGTCTGCATTACTCTTAAGTAACACCAAAAATACTGTTTCAATACCAGACATCACTTTGTACATTAAAAATACAAGAGTTCGTAAGTTGTAATCTAAAAAAGTCAATGTAAAATAATTTAAAGAGCTTTTTTTTGTCCTCACGGTGTAGTTGCTGCAGAAAGTAAGAGCGTTATTTCATCCACTAAATCCTTGGATTAAAAAGAGAATGAGAGAGACACATTTTAGGTAAAAACGAACGACCTCCATGTTAAAATCATAATCACGTTAATATTTAAACAGTGCCAGACAATTCTCCTCCTTCTCCTTCATTTGCTTTCTTGCTCAGCCCCCTCCCTGAAAGACAAAAACACGCTCTTTTCTTTTATCCTTTTCTTCTGTTCTCTTCAAAATCACAAAGTCACGCCAGCTCCCTCGTTCAGCGTCAGTCTTGTCTAGCCTCACTTCTTTGGAATGGCGTGATGAACGGCGGTCTTCTTTTGTCCTCTCCTTCCCCCACAGTGTCTCATCCTCTCCTCTCTCCACCTCCGTCTGTGTGTGAGGAGCGATGTAGCCAACTGTCCTCTATTCTACTCTCCTCCCTGTCTGGTCTATTGCTCTCTCTCACTGATGCTAGTGCTGATTCCCCCTGCACTCCTGCCCCCTCCTTCCCTTCCTCTCTCGCTCTCTCGTTGCAGTGTCAGTCATTTATGCATTTATGAGAGTGTGCATGCATGCACAAGCAGCTGAGCACCTCTCTCTCTAATGCACATAATTATGATGGTGGCTGATAGAAAGAGTAAGCGCATCAATGGATGGAGAGAAAAAGCAGGTGAGGAGCATGAAGTCTGCCCTCAACGCTCTTCCCATGGTAACTTAAGAGCAGGCAAGTTGGGGGCTAGTCATTTCTGTCTACTTCCTCTTGATATTCCACAATCCTCCACATAATTACCTTTTTTATTTTATTTTTATAAATCGGACACTTTAAAGATATAGATCACCTTGAAATGAAAATTCTGTCATTAATTTACCCACCTTGTATCGTTTTAAACCTGTATGACCTACTTTCTTCTGTGGAACATAAAATATTCTGAAAAACTGTGTTTGTCCATATAATGAAAGTCAATGGGGTCCTAAACAAAACTACATAAAAAAAAAATAAAAAAAAATTGAATTGGAATGACATGAGGGCAAGTAAATGTCAGAATTTTCATTTTTGTCTGAACCATCCTCAACCACATCAACAAGCCAATGCCTAGCAAAAGCATAATGCAGGTCATTTGACACATCCTCAAGGTTATCTTGGTGTATGCGTTTACAAATCCAGACCAACCATGTAATAAGCATCTAATCAATGTGTCAGAATAACTAGAGGGTTGATTTGTGAGTCATTCAGTCGAGTGACCTGAATTCAGGGTTATGAGGAAGAGTCAGCTGAACTACAAATCCTAGAGTGCACTCTGTCCGCGCTCTTGCTTTCTAAGGACACGGCGGACTGTGTATGCTGCAAAGGTGCATTGATTCTGTTTTTTGAGCTGCTTCTTCCCTGTCTCATCTCTGTGCTGAAATTTCCATCAGAAACGTCTGAAGGGAAGGAATATTCGAGCTTAAACACAGTTGCATCATGGTCCTTGGCTCCAGGGCATGGGCATGTCTGGTGAGCACACACACTTAGAGCAGACAGGCGGAGGGGAAGGGGCGGGGGGAGGGGGAGAGAGAGAGAGAGAGAGAGAGAGAGAGAGAGAGAGAGCGAGAGAGAGAGAGTGTGTGAGAGAGAGAGAGAGAGAGA